CAAGACATTTCCACGTACATCCACATTAATGCAATTTATTATTCACGTCGTGGACTGAATTCCATCATTATTATAAGGGGGAGGCTTTCGAAAATGACATTTTGCCGTTTGGAGCTGATTAAACCATTCAAATAATCTCTCTATTTAATTTAATTATTTTACCTCACATTTCAATTTTCTTTTTAGGTGTAGGTTTAGTGTTATTGACTTGTATGTGGATATATCTAACACTAAAATTAAGAATAAGACTTGAAACAAAAAAATTCTTCTCATTGGGGCTATATCAAGTAATAATTAACATCCAAAATGATGTCTTCCTCACCATTTCTAATAAATTATGCATGTATGAAGAGATCGTATATACTATAGAATTGCTGCACTCATATTAGAAGAAGTATTAGTATTCTATATAATTGATCTGTTGGGATCATTTATCACTTGTCACGTGTCAACATCACATGTAGAACAATAAGATGACTTAATATCATCTTTCGGGTTAATACAAGTCTCTAGAGCTCGAAAAGAGAAAGTCGAGCCGAGCTACATATATATTACCTTCTAGTCGACCTCCGACAGGTATGAGCCGACCTTGAAGGGCACCTATAGACACGAAGACAATGAGGATGTTCTCCGACAACGCAACGTATTTTCCAAGCAACTATCAGAGAGTCGTTGGAGTGTTGTCGGGAGCTCATCTCTATAAATATAAATCCTCGCAAGTACGCGAAACTATTTATTTCTATAAGATTAGATCGAATCGTGTACTCTATCAGAATACTAACTTTGTTTTCAACTATTTGGTACCCAAAGATAAAATTTGAATGGATTGACAAAGCGTTAAGCTTAAGAGTAAAAGTGACGACGGTAGAAGCTTGAAGTGATATATGGCTGGTTGGTGTTTGGTAGGTTTGTAAATGGCATGAGTTTCTTTTATTGTGGTGGGAGCGGAAGGCACATGGTTGCACATGAACACTAAAATTGGCATCCCAATATTTATAAGATGCTCCTGCCTCCACACCTGGGGCTAAACTTCAACCCTCTTGCTGTCCCCATTCTTCACTCCCTCAGTGCTTTACCATCCTATTCAGTTCGGATTCAAACCTATAACTTGATTGTTATTTTTAGATCTAGGATCAGATTCAAACCTATAACTTGATTGTTATCTTTAGATCGTTAATCAATCGTTTTTTGATAAAAATATCATATATTGTGACATCAGAATAGAGAGGACGAGGAATACATAGATGAATCGGTACTATATCCAAATGATAGAGATGTTGAGATCATGGAACAAGATGCACTTTTTTCTAGTGGCTCAATCATAAGAATTTCATAATTAAGTGTGTTTGGCTTGAAGCAATCTTCGATTAGGTGACATCGTAGTTGATTTATTAGAAAGTATGTAAGTGAGGACAAAACATGTTAAACGGACTCGTATTGATCCGTAGGTAGCCAGACCTTACATATATGAAGTCAGCAGGTTCATCTGACCAAAAAATTTCTTAAATTTAATAATCTAAGTGGTAATTCAGTGCTGCTTGGATTTTTCATTGGCGTGATTATGAGAGATTGGGCCGGTTAGCCCCTACAAGAACCCATTTGAGACAATCAATTGGGCTGTTTGGTCACAAATAGAGGCCTTGCAATTGGAGTTGCCTGAAGGCCCAAGACCCAAAAGCTACTTTACTATTGAACAAATGTTTAAATGAATTAACATTTGGGAATTTGTAATGGTTTGCTAAAATATATGCTATATTTTGTAAATATAATAACAAATTTTTGGTTTTTGTAAAATTTTTGAATTTTTAGTTATTTCGATTTTATCCTTCTAGATTTTTCAGATGTATGAATGATATTTCAAATCAAGTATATGTATTAGAAATCATTGTTATTGTTTAATAGGAAAAAAACATCTTATCCAATACAAAATTTAACAATATATGTAATAATTGGAGAGGAAAAAACAGTCTAATATCATGGTGGTTTTTGATTGGGCTAATAAAAAACAGTCTCAAGTAGAAAAATGCAAGATGGAATGTCATCTAAAAAGACTTGGCTTTGCTTCACAGAAAAATGGCTAATGAAATTTTGTTTCCATAGTAATGATGCAGACATCAGTTGACTGGATCGATAGATAGTGACGTCAAATGAAAGCTTTTAAAAAAACAATTTGTCGATGGGAGATCCAGCTAGCCAAATTGACGAAATTACTCACCATTCAAACTCTTAGTAAGTCAATAAGAACGGTGATTCATCGTGTTCTCGATGAATCGTCTAACTTAAAAGGCACATCAAATCAAAACTGAAAGATCTTCATCGATTTGATAATTTAAGGATGGAAAACTCTAAAGTGAATCTCCTTTGTCACCATTTTACAGAATAATATATTCATCGACAAACATTTAAAACATTTGAAAAATATTACTTTTAATCGGAAGTCAATAACTTCGGAAATTATTCACTTTTAAAAACGAGTCGCCGCCGCTCGGCATCGTCGAGTCGCCGCCACCCGCTGCGGAGTGCCTCATCACTCAGGTATCTGATTTTCCCCTTTTATTCCTGCTGATTTTCCCTTCCGATTTCTGATTTCCGATTTATTTTTGCATCTGGTGTTTTCGTCGGGAGTGTTATTCTTCTATCACGTTCTGCTAGAATTTAGGGCGTTTCTGTTTCTGTTTCGATCCTATTGTTTCCATTTTCCTCACTTTCTCTCGGATTTGCGATTCACCAAACCTAATTACTAAATACTTTGACAAACGCCTGAATTTCGTTTGTATGGAGCGTCTAATGCGTAAATTTGCTCGTGATTTCAGTTTCTTGGGTGCGATTGGTTGGTAGGAATTGGAGAAGCCGAGTAGTGAATTAGAGTTGTTTCCTATCGTTACGATCTTTGTTTAGTTTTCATGTAAAAATAGCAGTAAAATAAATTCTACATATTTTTTATTAGGCCACCTCTGAAAGTTTTGTTGGGGTGATTGATCAGACAAGGGGGCTTCTGAATTACGTGGACAAATATTGCTCAAAAGTTGGCTACAATTCTGAATTGAAATATGTATGTATTGCAGGAAGGTAAATGGGTAAAATTGAGATCTCATTTTATAGTTTCCTTACTGAAAAATTCAATATGTTTCATCTTCTGACTACAGTGGGACCTTATTCTTCCAATTTATAGGAAAAGTTTGGACTTAAAAACAATCTCAAGAGAGAAAAACTATACATTTTAGGGACACAACTATATACAGTTTTACCTTATGATTTTAGAAAGAAATATGTTAGATAGAGAAAGATAAGTTGGAAAATAAGAAATTTTATGTTTTTCTTTCTTTGCAAGTTAAATTTAGACTTTGTTACCTCTCTAATCTAAAATTTTTGCTATGGGGCGAGAAAAATTTTAGAAAAAAAAAGGGTTATGGTTCTGTTTTGGTCTGTGATTCTTTTGAAAAATTCAAAGTCCTAACAGCTATGGTTCTGTTTTTTGTAATTTTTGTCTCAGAACTAAGGTATCAAAGGGTGTAATTGAGGGTTTCAAAGCATGTACCGAAGAATCTCTTAAACCTGGAAAATAATCTCTACACTTAATTTTAAAATTTCTATTTTTTCTCTCTGTCCTGAGGAGCCAAAAAACAATATTTTTTGGAAGTACTTCTTACTCACCCTACAAAGACTTAGCATCTGCGTCCAAATAAGTAACACTAAAAAAAAAAATCTTCATGATTACAATAATGGGTTGGGGGGCAGATAACTGAAGTTTAAGTCATTATCCTAATTTCTTGCCAAGTATCAATTGAAATCTTCTTGTTGTAGAAAAATCTTATTTTTAATCTGATGAGTAGCCTCAACTGCATTTGACCATTTAACAGTGAGCTACCAAGTGCAATTGAGATCTTCTGTTGCTTCCCTAATGTTGAATGGTTGATATCATTTGTATTGAAGAAGAAAATTGTGAAAAATAGCTTATGTAACATTCATCTCCATATTTTATTCCTCATTTGACTTCTATTTTTCCTTTTTGTTTTGTACAAGAGAGTACCAAGAAAAGATTTAGTTGTTTGCTGATCTCGGTTTGTTAGGGTTGTGTGAGGGTTTAACATCTGTGACTTGCCATCCTAAATTCTATGGTTCGGCCTTCTGGCCTTTATGCCCCTATACCTGGGGGGTATGGGCATCATCCCCCATACCCGTACATACGCAAAGAGTCATCACTTGATGGAAGTTGCATCCCATGTGGCTTGAACCTAAAACTTTAAGGTTTTTCCTTGAAGTCCCAAGCCATCCAAGCTATCCCTTGGGGACATACATTTCTAGATACATTATACATCTACATGAACTATTATTTAATTAACTACATTAATGTATTTAGTTGTTTAAGGTAGGTTAATTATATGTTCATGAATGTACAGGTTCATAGGATGTGAGTTAATGTCGAGTCTAGATTCTTTCACGGAGTCCTATAAATAGTATCCTCTTGGATTGTATTTCAAGCAAGTATGGAGAAGAAAAAACAAATAGTTTGAGAGAGTTTGTGAACCAAGTGTATATTTTTTGTGAAGAATTTTCAATACAAATGGAGTTATTTCTTCTCATGATTGATTCTAAATTTGTGAGTGTCTATCCTGCTTCCACACTGATCATACATATCTATGTACTAGAACTTGAAATAATTATAATTGGAAGTGGGGCTGTTCTTATATTTTTCATATCTGTTATTTTAGAGTAGTAAAGAAAGGTTCTGTGGTGATTATATGTAAGATATCCTATAACTACTTTTTTAATCTTTTTGTTACTTGTTGGTGGAGGTTAAATGATTCATATATTATGCGATTTTCTAACTTTAGATGATTTTTATAATATGATGTTATATATTATTTCTCTTGAAGGATAAAGTGATTCACATTCTAAGAGCTACCTAGTTGTGACGAATATTACGAATATTACGGATCAATTATAATTCAATTTTTACTATTATTAGATGCTCGCAAATTGAAGTTTATTTTATATATATCTCATTTGGTATTAGAGAAAAATTAGACTGATGTTTTTTGCTATATGAATGTATCATACCTTCAGAGAAGAGGAAGCAAAAGGTTTCTGAAATAAAGGCTGGAATTGATGAAGCAGTGTCTCTGTTACCTTGTTAACTTGTCCTTGTGAAAAATGCCTAAAACTTCGTCATGTTATATTTTTCATGGACTTCAGATTCGAAAAATGGATCTTTAGTCTAGAAGCTTGTACACAATATGTAAATATGAATACCATATCTTTGTATTGATTTCCCCTTCTCTCTCTCACTTAATTTTTTCTCAGCTTTGAAGAATTATGTGTCTCTTGTTGCAAATGCTACTTTAAATTCTGGAATTTAAGGACAAATGAAGCAATTATTGAAGGATTTACAAATGTCAATAAAGATTTACAAATACTATTGATCTTTACTTCATTTTTTTTAAGGATTTATAAGTGCCAATAAAGAATTAACTTGAAGGTTTAAAAATCGTTGAAAATAGTATTACAACCTTAGAAAAATAAAGAAAGCCTTTGAAAAAGGTATTTACAACTAATTTCACAATTATGAGGGTTTAAAACTAATGAGAAATATTAATTTTTGTAGGTGGAATCTTTGAATAAGCTTTTTCTACATGATCTATTTTGAAATTTTTCAAAGACTGAACCAATCTATGGAGAAGGATGCAAAAAAGAATTATGAAAAATACTTGATCAGGAGTAATTTTGTCCTTACCACTATTAAATATTTCACCACTCATCATTTTTTTTAAGTTTTTATGTTTTTTCATTTCTTTCTCGTTGTTAGATATTTAATAGGGGTAAAAAAAAATTGTTCTTTACCAGTGGAGAACAAGTATTTTTCAATGTTTATTTAATATATTTTTAAAGATAGTGACTTTCACAAAGGATGAAATGATCAATTTTCTTGTAGCGCATCTTAATCAATCCATGTTGCTCCGAATCTAAACTCGATGTTGGTAACTAAATTACTCAATCCCTACTCATAAATCAAGAATATACAACTAATCAACGGCTTTTTAGAAGCAGAACTGTAAGTTAGGCCCAAAAAAAAGAAAAAAAAAACACTTTATTAACACACATGGTTGCAAAATTATGTCATCTTCTTCTTTCATTTTTCTATCCTTTTAATAATAATAATAATAATAATAATAATAATAATAATAATGTCATCTTTTATGTAATAACTAATACACCTATACATGAGTTGAAAATGCATGATGTGTCCCACTCTAACAAGCAAACAAATGTGGTAACTACAAAAGATTAATTATATTTGGTTTACAAAGGGCATGCATGCAGGGGAAATGAAAGTAAAACAAATTTAATCTTGATTTTAGGGCAAGGAATAATGAGAGAACCCCATCATACTATAACTAAAAACAAAAAAGGCTAAGATTACTTAGAGATCATAAACCAGTGTCACACAATAAAGGAGCAAAAAGAAGAAGAAGAAAGAATAATAAAAAAAAGCCATGATTAATATGGCAGCTGTGTTAGTTATAACTTATATCACAATCATGATAACGACGGACAAGTTGGGTGTATACAACCTCATCTTCATCCTCATCATGGATCTCTACTTTTGCCACTTTTTCCATTGCCAAAAGCTCCAAAGTTTTCTGGTCCGACGGCTCTGCTTCTGCTTCTGGCGGCATCACTGATGGTAGTTTCGCCAGAAGCGCTTCTAGGCTGCTCATTGATGGTGTTATTTGGACCTGCTGGCCCGGGTTCAAATTAATGTGGTTGTACATTAGTTGCTCTGCTGGACCTGGGAAACAACTCGTCCCTTCGAACCGCCCTAACTCCGCGCTCTCGTAGGCTGCCGCCGCGGTAGCCATCGCGGCCGCGTCTACGTTGAAATTAGATGGAATTGATGAGCAGAGCGGGTGAGGCAATAGAACGCCCGGGATGCTCTCGATGTAGCAGAATTTCTTTCTTAATTGTACTACGAAATTCAAGTCTTCAGTCACCTACATAACATGAATGGAAATATACGTTTTAGTTACTGATGTTAGTGTGGTATATATTGAGATATCGATAGAAATATTGAGATCTCGAGATGGATTAAGACCCATATCAAAATAGGGAAGAACCAACTCAACAGAGCTGTAACCAAAGAAAGTTTTAAATTTTAACCTGTCATAGATCTAGATAATAAGTGGTCCGAAATTTAAAAGAATTAATTAAATTACCTAGGAGAGAAAAATTCATTTAATTATGTTAACACCTCCAGATTTGTTGTCAACTGATCGCTAGACAATAGTCTAAGCTTACTATTAGACATATTTAACATCTAGCCATATRATTTCTTTTTTTTTTTAACAGAGAACATCTAGCCATATAATGAGAATATATAATTAAAAAAATTATTAAAACAATCAAATATTAAATTAAAACTTTTTAAATAATAAAAATGTTTAGTCTATTAATAAACAGGAAGTAATTGTCAGAAAAGGAGAGACCTTCTGAACTGCTCCCAATTGAACGACGCCTTCTTTGACTGCGACCAAAGCTATGGTCTGAAAAAACAATAACGAGGTTGTCATCTCATGATCTGCATCTTTTTTCTTTTCTTCCATAAATTTATCCAAGACAAATAGTCACATATAACATATGAAATATATGCTAATTAGAGATACAACTAATAATAGCATTCGTCAAAGCCAACATAGTTTAATTAAAAGATGGTAAGTTCGATCTTTCATCCCCACATATTGTATTAGGTGACAATAACATTCACCACTTTTTAACTCCCACTTAATTTACAATGTGAGATCAAAAGATGGGTGAATGAAAGGAAGCATTAGAACCAATAAAATCTCAATTAATTCATATTATTATGATTGAATACCTTTATGCCTGACTGAAACTGGGCTTCCCAAGTCCTAGGATGCTGCAAACAAAAAAAAAAAAATAATTAAATAACCAATGACAATTAACACAATCAAAAGAAAATTTTATGTGTGTTCTTCATTTCTGTGCATGGATTATTTTTGCAATTCTTGCTTACGGAGTCAGCGGAATTGTGCCATGTCGGTAAGAATTCGATGTCTTGATTATCGTTTGGTTCTTTGTAAATCCATTTATGACTCCGATCCGCCGCTACTTTTCCAATCAATCTGCCTCACAATTGAAACAAAATTATACTAGACGAAGATGACACATTGTAAATCCATTTCTAATATTCGAACCAAGATTGAAACCTATGGATATTAATTACGGAGGAGCGGAAAAAACAAAAGATATTAAAGTTGGGATTTTTTTAATAATTACCCCTCTCCATAATTGTAGATCTCGTGCGACATCTTGAAGAAAAGCTCCGGCTGCAGTCCCCGACATGGCTGTAACCCATACACCACAGACGAGCCCGGAAAGTCACCGCCGCCGCCACCGCCATCCATCTCGTCGGCCGAAGACGACGCCCCAAAATTGCAAAAGCCATCTTCCCACACCAATATCCTACAATAATATGGTAATATCAATATTAGCAAATTTTGTCCATTAATGGATAAGAAAAGAAATTCAAAGAAATACCAGTTCCTCCAATTCCCTCTGGACCTATCAAAAGCACCTTGATTTTCCCATCTGCAGAAGGAAAAAAAAAAAAAGAGGGTAACTCAAGTAATGTAATAATTTAAATTAAAATGGTGGAGAAAATGAAAAAATGGTGTACTTTGGTGGTGGGTAATTCCGAGGGAGGATCCGCCAGAAGACGGCATAAACCCACTGGGAATTATGGTGGATGCATAAGCTTCTGAGAGTGTGTTGAAGAAGATGAGTAGTTGCTAACAAATTAAGACGCTGTTCCATCCAAAAAAAAAGGAGCAAAATTAATTGAGATTACCACCTGTGTATTTGTGTGGGTGAAATGGTGTACTGAAAGAGAGAAGAGAGAATATAAAGGGCTTCACCAATATCTGTGAGAATTAAAGGGAAATGTGATTCTCTTTCTCTCTCTATCTCTAAAAAGAACTTGTACAAGGGTCCTCATTGGTTCCCCACTGTAGTATACGGCTTGGAGTTTGGTTTACAAAATATATATATTTTTTAGTTTTTGAAGACATTAATTATCTTACAATCATTCATTATTATTCTTGAATTGGATTTGGTTGCTCTGAGAGAGATGAGTACAAATTGATGGTGTGTACACTGTACACTACTCATCGTTTCTTCTATACTTTCGAGACCATCTATGTTTCTTCTGATTCTAATTCTGTCATTTTTCCAGGATGCAGAATACCATTGCATTACTATCACCAGTTATTATTATTTATATATATGAGAGATTTTTTATGGAAAAAATATATATATCAATGAATAGGTGGATTATAAGTTCTTCGAACGTGAACTATTTGACTTTTTCCCAAATAGTAAGAGATAGAGACAGAAAAAGTTTAACACTACAAGATTATACCGGTTCACTGGCATGGATTAAAAAGTTCTAACTTTGAGTGCTCAAAACCTAACCTTTTTAAACTCCTTTTGCAAAATTTCCGTTTTTGTTAAGTGGGAATATATAGGATTGAAGTACCCTATTTTTGGGGTGGGGTTGAATTTAAATATGACCTAAGAGTTGAGGAATGGAGTCTAATTTTTATGAGCTTTACTATATACTTTCCAAGTTCCAATTACTTTAGAATGGAGATTAATTTGAAGTAAGGAATCTTAATTGAACAAGAATCTACATATTAATCTTTGCATTAATGATTAAAGGAAGAACCCGAACGGGTATTAAGATGTCTCCTTTTTTCACAGCGAATCCTTGTAAAAAAAAAAAAAAAGAGTTTGCTAAAAGGGAGCTTTCCATGATTGCACTCCCAGTCTGACACAAAGAAAGTTTTGGCAGTCTCTGTAATGCTCTTTCTCTTTGACCAACTTTTTGCATTTTAACTCTGCAGTCGCAACCAAGAAGGATTTTCAAGATTTATCTAAATCTCCATCGTGTAACTCTGCTCTTTGCTTAAATTACAATTACAATTACAACCCAAGAAGATTTATTAATTGGTAGTGATATTTTTGAAATCAGTTCATGGGATATCTCAAAATTAAGCATTTTGATCTCCATATATTAGGGTTTTATAATGCTAGTTAGTAATGCATGAATGTACGGAGAGAGTTGTTGATTGGGGACATAAATGTCAGTGATGAAGCAGAAAGTAGTGTTGAATTGCCTTTCTTTTTTTTGGTTTAAATTTTATTGTTCTGTTTTGTAACAAAAGGGTAAATGGGTTGAACAATATATATAATACAGACACAATCTGAGAAGATGGAATGGAAACAGAGAAGTTTTGGGTATGGGGGAAGAGAAAAGCACGACAGAAATTTAAAGGCCATCATCTTCACTGATCCTCAGGCCTCAGATCATCATCATAATATATATATATATATATATATATATATATATATCTGATTGGGTCAAAAAATTATAAGTCATTCAACTTTGAATATCAAATATCCATCCATCCATCCTTATCTCTTCCCATTAAAAGTACTGAAACAACTGCTCCTCTCCCATACCTCTGTCCCCATCGCCTATTCTTTGTTTCTTTTTATTTATATATATATATATATATATATATATATTTATAAAGACGATGACCCAAGGGATAATATAATTGTGGGGTAGTTTTGGTTTTACGGGTTTAGGGTAAAAAGATGTCTTTTTTAGTAACAAGCTGGCAAAGGAGCAGACTTTTTAGAGTTGCCCTTTTTACAACTTTTAGGGTTTGCAATTGCATGGTAAAAAATAAATTGTTGTTTTTGCAGGTTTTCAGTGGGAGGGTATTCATCAAGGAAGCTCATATTTCTTTGTTGGGTATTCAGATGGAAGAGCGTTGAGCGTCTGCAGATAACCCTTTTGCTCTTCCCATGAGTAAAGTAAAAAGACGACCAAAGTTCAATTTTTGACCTTGAACTACGTTCCCATCACCTTTGTTTTTTCTCTATTTTTTCTCTGAGTACATCAAGTAGGGAAAGATCGAACTCACAACCTTTTGGTTGGAGATATATGTCGATTACTGCTGTATACTTGTTTTGGCTACGTTCTCATCACTTTAGTACTACTCTTTTTCTTTTTAACATGTGCGTGATATTTCTAATTTATTTATCATAAATTAAAATTAAAACTAATGTCATTGTTACTCAATTATCACTCAAAATATACATAATTTTAATAAAGATTAAGTATTTAATCTAGCAATATTTATGCTAGCATCTTTTTTCTTTTAACTTATTTACAAAATTGTTAAAAGACAAGATTAATATTGTCCGTAAATTTTTTTTAATAATCAAACTTAGCTTTTGAAGGTATAAATATGATGAATGATATGTTATTCGCTAATGAATTGTGTATATATATTTAACTCTCACCAATGTTCAAAGCCGCTAAACAATACTGTTGTGAAAAATAGGAACGTGATCCTCTATACTAATTAAGAAACCTTAAAAATTCGTGAGAGAGAAAAGTAAAAAAGAAGAAACACATAATATTTATATCTTGCCAACAACACTGCTCTGAAAAATTGAAACATGATGTACATTAATAGATCTTTGAACAAAAAGATCATGATATAGATATTGAGTTGTATTCATTGAGGAGTGGAGGAGAGGTTAATTAAGGACAGTATATTTTGATTGGGTAAATTAAAAGATGTTTTGAGCGAGGAGAGTGTTAAAAAGTGAAATTGTTAAGACTTAGACCTAGATATTATCATGAAAAAGTAAAAGCAAACATAAAGTGAACTCCAATTATCTCTTCCTTAACAAAGTGGTATTAAAACTATGCCCTATCTACACACGTGCTCTCATAATTATTGAAAAGAAGTTTGGTAGGCTTCTGTTTAGATCGAGAGAATTATAAGAGGTAGAAAAAAATTGGTAACCTTTCCTTATTGCACAATACAATAACCTAACCCTTGGTTGAGTTCATCAAATAGGAGGCATGTTACCGCATAATTATAATCCTATATTCTAAAACAAAAAGACTATTACTTTCACTCCGGCGGCCCGGGAATCAAAACTTTTGAAATGATAATAAATACCTTATTTTATAAATTATGATCAGATATGTGGTAGCTATCGGGTACTTAAATAAAGTTAAAAACTAGAGTGGAGAATCAATTATATTAATGGATTTAACCATCATCAGTGGCTCGTTGGTCCAAAAGTGCCAGGATAAATTGAGAAGTAATAGATTCAAATTTTATTATGGACACTTACCTTAAAAATTAATTCCTATGTGTTTTCTGATACTAAATGTTTAAGGTCAGGCGGCTGTCTCCAAGATTCTAGCCTCATCTTGGTCATCAAAATCATCTCTCTTTTGTAATTACAATATAACTAAAATTTCTCTCAACTGGAGTACATCCGTTTGAGCCTTCTTTTTGTATGTTCCTTACGTACCGTGTCAATGAATAGTATCTCTTAAAAAAAAAGAAAGATGATGAAATGGAGTAAAAGATAATATTGGGTTTGATGTGTTTGGTGGTGAAGTGGTGGGTATATGTGCTTCTTTATTCTACTTGCTTTAAAAGTAGCATATTTTTCATTGGAATGGTGATGTACATGCATGTGCAAAGTGGGAAAGGGTCCAGTAGCTGGACACCATCAACAAAACTACTTAGCTAGCCCTCACCATTACCATGCAAAAACCTATCAGCCTTTGAAAAGAAAAGAAGCACAAGTCCATAAAACCAAACAAAGGTGATTGCGATCCATTCAACTCTTTTGAATGCAAAAAAGAAAGAAAAAAATAACATCAAATGCCCAAAAAGTCTCTGCCCAATCACATTTTTGGGTGAAAAAGACCTCTCATTTACGCCATCCTCTTGTCCCTCTCTCCCCTCTCCAACCCTAATCAACGAAACAAACAAACAAAGCAAGAAAAAAGGAGTTTGGTTGGGTAGAGAAGATATACATTATATCTTGTTGAATCCCATTTCAGTTTAACTCCAAGGCTTCACGTGACCAAATTGGTTCACTATGTTTCCATTCAAACCCCAAAGAAGCAAGCTTTTAAAGAATCAACAAGCTGGGTGTGGCTAAAAACAAACTCACTTTCACTCTGGTTGACCTGTGTATGTTACGCACGCGTAACTATTAAGAATATGAACAAATGATTAAATACCGCTAGCTAACATAATCGAGTTTTTGGGTTGTGATTAAAGAAGAAGAGATAGAGGAATTGGGTATTTGAAAAATTGTATGTGGGAAATGGGAGAGATGAGGAGATTTGTAGAGAGAAGTTAATTTGGGTGTGGGAAGCCATTTTTGATGATGTTGGTTGCTTTAGTCAACAGTGGTTTGATAGTGACTCCATTATAAGAGCATACGGAGATGGAATTGGCATCTTCAGCCTCTGTAGCTTCAGGACAACTTGGGACTGTGTTTCGTGGGACACAACGAGAGATAGGTACATTTTATCTGTCACCTCTCCACTGTTCAAAAAATTTGTGCTTATTCCCCAATATTCCCTACTTCCATTTTAACTCAACAAACCATATATATATTTATTACCGTTCTTCTAAAATCTATTCCCTTTGCTAGCTTTACAAGAATCAGAATTGGAATCGGAATCAAAAAGATGTCCTTAATTCTAATTGGCTCCCGGGAATCAAAACCCTTTTGAATCCGAAGAGAAAATCGAACCATTTACGCTCCTAATAAAAAATCTGTGATTTTCTCAACTCAATCTTGAAATTAAACCATAGTGTGAAGTGAATGTGTTTGAAGCTTTAATTTGTGTAGGTATTTGATGCTCTTCTCCAAGATCTTTTCTCTCTTCTTGTAGCTGGGTTGGACCCAAGAAATGAAATTTTGAAGGCCCATTTTTTTTTCTGATTTTTATTTTTTGGGTGCAGGAGATGTGAATTATACTGAATGTTTGTTGCTGTCTT